TCTGATTCTGTCTTTCAATATAAACTTCTCGAGGTATCATTTACATTCTAGAAAGATAAAAGTATTACTTGTTCAAATTATCCGTATCTATATAAAACTAGCTACGATATCGACGGTTAGGTGAGGCCCTTGGAATCCATGAACTATTTTGTGGAAGATATATGCACAATTGTTAGAGCTTTGTATGTTTTGTTACAATTGGATAGAAGTCTCTCTGTAGATTGTCTTCCTTATAAGCAAACGTTGAAAACAAAAGGTTTTAATTAAAATTTGTCCTTTGAGTGTCTTCAATATTAATACGTACAAGCCTCGCTTCCATTCCTTTACCAACGTTGTCAATCATATAATTAAAAACAATCTGTTTGAATACAACAGGCCTTGCTCTGACCCTTTTGTCAATAGTTCTTCCAAAAGGTTGTCGCTGGATGGTCCTTAAGGTTTATCCGAACCTCACCGCGAGGCTGCTATTACGTTACGCGATTCCAATTTAGCCGCATACTCTAATTAGATTGTCGTCTATTCATACCATTCACGATGTTAAGAGATTTAGAAACGCAAAGTCTTTCAGTTTGTGATAAAATAGAAAAATTTTCGCCACGCGCTGCGTTCGTCTACTCTCAGCCTTGCTTCTTCTCCGTTACATAATACACGATATCCAACCGAGAGGATTGACTGAATCTACCGAGCACCACTCAGCGCGATGTGAAAGACATGGAACGATACACAGCCATCAGAGTAATAAGCGACTAGCAGAGCTTGCCAATTACCGTTTCGGGCTGATTAATTCATCACGCTAATAAAGCGTGCTATGCGCTGTACCGATAATAAATAAGAACAGTCGTGCTCACTGAGATTTAGAATAACTGACGGTGGTGCGGGTTTGCGTGATGGAAAGATGCGTCCAATGACGTGTAATACGACAGGCAGAATTGAACCTGTGTATATTCCAGAGGATTAAGAGAAACAAAAACCCAATATTAAATCATTCGAAAACTCACTTTTATTTTTTCCAAACATATTCCCATGAGCATCTATACCACTTTTCATTGCGATTTGAAACGATGATTGCCTCGAGATTTGCCAA